GCCACCTGATGTGTATGCTTTTTTGATAAAAATTCCAAATTGAGAGTAAGGTTTTATAGTGAGGTGTCAGAAAATAATATATTCTCTCATGGAAAAAAGGCTTAAACTTTCCAAAGTTTCCCTGCAAGTAAAAAAGGAGCTACTGAGAAAATCCACCGGAACAGAGAAGGGACAATAATTTTTGGTTGGTAGTCTACATTTGACACCAAAAATCCTATAAGGAGTCCGTGACAGACCCCTATACTAATTGCTTCGTCCTCATTCCTGATTATATGTGGAAAGTGTGACTATTCCTTCTTTCTCAGAAGAAAGTCTTTATTGTTACACCTAGATGAGTATGAAAAATGTTTCTGATAATTCTCATGACCAAAATAATGCCAAGTGTTTTTCTTCAAAGTGTTATTTATTTATTTTTAAAAGATTATTCATTTATCTCTTTGACAGAGACAGACACAACAAGAGGGAACACAAGCACGGGGAATGGAAGAGGGAGAGGCAGGCTCCCTGCCAAGAAGGGGAGCCCGACAGGAGGCCTGATCCCAGGACTCTAGAACCATGACATGAACCGAAGGCAGATGCCCAATGACTGAGCCATCCAGGCACCCCGAAGTAGTTCATTTTTAATTAACCCACCTATTATTTATTCCTCTGTTAATATTGTTACATAGCTACACTAGATTTTATTCATCCAACAATCTCCTTACTGATTTTGCCTCCAAATGACCATATGTTTCTAAATCACCTTGCCCCAAATGACTCCATCATCACCCATAACTACAAATTTCAGAGCAAAATGTATCAAATGGTGACGGAAAATGAATGTAGAAAAGAGGAAATATTATAATACTGTATCTATTTTTTTTAAAAGATTTATTTATTTATTTATTTGACAGACAGAGATCACAAGCAGGCAGAGAGGCAGGCAGAGAGAGAAGGAGGGGAAGCAGGCTCCCTGCTGAGTGGGGCTCCATCCCAGGACCTGGAGATCATGACCTGAGCCAAAGGCAGAGGCTTTAAACCACTGAGCCACCCAGGCGCCCCTATAATATTGTATTTTTTAAAGCAATACATTCTTATCTAAATGTTAAAAAAAAAAAAGTATAATTAGTGAATGAGAGGCAAACGAAAGGTCAAAAAGGAAAAAAAACACCCCACAAACACAGAGATGTAGAATAGAAAGGCAGAGAGAAAGAAAATTTCAGACTAGAATTTATTAAAATTCTTTGGTCTTGGGGACCTGGGTGGCTCAGTCCGTTAAGTGACTGACTCTTGATTTTAGCTCAGGTCATGACCTCAGGGTCGTGAGATTGAGCCGCATGTGGGGATCTATGCTGGGCATGGAGCCTGCTTGGGATTCTCTTTCTCCTTTCCTCTGACCCTTCCCCCTCTAAAAAATAAATAATAATAAAATAAAATAAAATTCTTTGGTCTTGTGCTCAATTTAAGGATGTGTGCTAATTACAATTAGCTGGCTGCTTTAATGTGATACATGGTAAAGGATATTAATGAAGACAGAAACAGATTTTATGTTGATCAAGAAATATAAAGTATTATTACTTGAAGGTTTTTTGTTTTTTAAAGGACCTTATTTATTTGACACAGAGAGAGAAAGAGAAAGAGAGAGAGAAGCAGGCAGGACACTGGGATCATGACCTGAGCCGAAGGCACACGCTTAACTGACTGAGCTACTCAGGTGCCTCTGCTTGAAAGTTTTATTTGAGAAAATATAAAGGCTTCTGCTATGGACATATTTCACTTGAGGATGATTATTTTTATACAAACCACTGAGGATAACTTAATTTCTTTGAGAGGACATTACAGCATAAATTCCTTCTCTGTATTTAAATAATCAATTAGGGGACACCTGGGTGCCCAACATAGTACCATGAATTTTACTATTAATTAGTTTTTTTTTTAAGATTTTATTTATTTGACAGAGAAAGACACAGTGAGAGAGGGAACACAAGCAGGGGGAGTGGGAGAGGGAGAAGCAGGCTTCCTGCTGAGCAGGGAGCCTGATGCAGGGCTTGATTCCAAGACTCTGGGATCATGACCTGAGCCGAAGGCATGCTTAACGACTGAGCCACCCAGGTGCCCCATTAATTAGTTTTTTAAAGTAAATTCTACCCCCAGAATGGGACTTGAACTCACAACCCCAAGACCAAGAGTCTCATGCTCTACCAACTGAGCCAGCCAGGTGCCCCAGTACCATCAGTCTCAAAGCTCAAAACTAATTACTACATTATAGGCCTAGAACTGTAAACAAATGATTTAAGTCTTCATTTACTTTGTACATTTATCCTTCCAAAGAATCTGGTAAGACTTTCCACATGCCCATTCACTGAAATGCTTTTTTAAATTTCATAAAGAAACAGTTAAGTTTGGTAAAAGCCTTTTTAAAATTTTATTAAGATTTTATTTATTTACTCAACAGAGAGAGAGACAGTGAGAGAGGGAACAGAAGCAGGGGGAGTGGGAGAGGGAGAAGTAGGCTTCCTATGGAGTAGGGAGCCTGCCTGAGCCGAAGGCAGACGCTTAACCCTGAGGCACCCAGGCGCCCCTGGTAAAAGCCTTTAAAGCAGTGATGTAGTCCTCAAAGTTGTCAGTGTTGCCCCTTCATGACCTGGCTCTGGTTTGCTCAAATAGAATAAATCCTGAATTATAAGAACTATAATTGGGACATCTGTCTGGCCCAGCCAGTGGAGTGTGAGACTCTTGATCTCGGAGATGTGTGTTCAAGCCCCATACTGGGTGGAGAGGTTATTTAAAAAGAAAATCTTAAAAAAAAAAAAAAGAAAAAGAAAGAAAGGAAGAAGGGGCACCTGGGTGGCTCAGTGGGTTAAGCCTCTGCCTTCGGCTCAGGTCGTGATCCCAGAGTCCTGGGATTGAGCCCAGCATTGGGCTCTCTGCTCAGCAGGGAGCCTGCTTCCTCCTCTCTCTCTCTGCCTGCCTCTCTGCCTACTTGTGATCTCAATCAAATAAATAAATAAAATCTTAAAAAAAAAAGAAGAAAGAAAAGAAATATAATAGAATGCAGTCTGTCCACTAAAATAGCTTACAGCCACCTATGAATCATCAAGGAAATAGGAAATAAAACCCAAAAATTAAATCTAGAGAGAACATAAAAATCTTAAGTACCTGAGTGATTTCTATTGCTTCTTCATGGGTCTCTTCTAAGGACTATTGGTAGAAAAACTGAGAAATTTGATGCTCACTTTTTAACAAGTAAATATATCAAACTTTACCTACTCAGATGAGTTATTTTATATATCGATATTAGATGGGCCTTTTTCCTAAGTTAGTTATATCCTACTAGTAAGTTAAACCTCCTTACCCATTTCTTGCTTTTCAAAGACCCATTCATTTCCATCTCATAGATAAATGTCTAGATCCTTATTTATCCTTATTAATCAAGAATGACAGGAGAATTTACTAGCCCAAAAGTGAATTTACCAAATTCAGGAGAGTGGTTACCTCTGGGAGCACAGAAACAAAGTGTCATCACAAGGGAATGCAGGCATAGAGATAGGGGTGAGGTGGGATCTCTCTCTTTTTAATTCCATTTCTTAAGCTGGGGAGGGGCCCCAGAGGTTCCTTTATATTTTTCTCTATGCCTTTTTCTTTTTCTACTTATAAAACATTTCATTAAAAATTTTTTAAAAAATTAAAAATTGGGGCACCTGGGTGGCTCAGTGGGTTAAAGCCTCTGCTTTCGGCTCGGGTCATGATCCCAGGATCCTGGGATGGAGCCCCACATCAGGCTCTCTGCTCAGCGGGGAGCCTGGGTACCCGCCCCCCGCCTGCCTCTCTGCTGTGATCTCTGTCAAGTAAATAAATAAAATTTTTTTAAAAAAATTAAAAATTGCTGGTGATCAAGGTAAAGTGAATCAAGTCCTGACTTTGGTCCTAAAAATCTGTGGCTTACTGATTCACTCTGTGATCCACATGCTTTAGTTCCAGTAAAACATGAAAAATACTTTGTAGGAATTTCATCTGGCAAGTTCTCACCAGGAAAACACCCTTTTAGAAACTAATATTAAATCACAAGACATTTTGGAATGTTACCTGTGTTCTCACACTTTTAAACTTTTCTTTAAAGTCATCAACATTTTTCATTTCTGAAAAAAAAAGAGCAGCCTAGGACTGAACATGTTTTCTGCTGCTTCCTAAATCAAAGAGAAGGTGTAAATCCTTTTTTTTCTTTTTTTTTTTTTAAAGTGTAATGTCAAGAAAGGATTCCCAGGCTTTCCCTCACTTTGTTTATATTTTTAACCCTTTAACAATTCCACTTAGAACATTTTTCCCACCTTTACATCGTCTTTCACAAAACCCCACAGCTGGGAAAACGAGTCTACAGCGACTATGGACTTTGACTTCACTTACAAGCCTTGAAACTCTTAAGCTACACTTGGAATTAACCAGCTTGGTCTCTAACTATCTCCGAGACAATAACACTTCAAAAGTAAAGCACTGACTTCAGAAATGTTTATACCAAAGAACTGCCTTATGAAAAATGAAAATACCAGCACAATGGGAAGAGCTGGAGACTTACTTGGAGAATGTATAGCTGAGTCTAAGAAATTATGACAATTCTTGAAAATGGTCCCATTTATAGAAGTCAACAGTTCCAGTTCTAGGCCATACATATTTCAAGTTCTGCAGCAAGCTAGTAAAACAACACTGAATTCTAAATATGACTTCTTGTAGTACTTATCTTCTCCAAGAACAAGAATTTAATAGATGGTTTCCTAGCAGTATTATTAAAAAACAAAAAACTCCAAAGGGACCAAGTAAGACAAAGCTACGAGCGGTATATTAATATAACTGAGTGAAAAACAACTTACAAAATTTCATTCATTCTTTACGAAGTTGTAAACGTCCTAAAGTTATAAACAACAAAATCCTCACAACATTCAACTTCCTACAAAGTATTCAATTTCAACTATTCATCTCTGCCTTGTCTCTGTCAAGATTTTGTTTCCTTGCCTTCTATTACTCACCAACTGCATCTGGATTTACCGGTCTGGAGACGTCAGCTTGCCCCATGATTAAATTGTCTGATGTGTCTCACGACAACCAACTGCCCCGGACCAAAGAAAACTTTTCTTAAAAGATAAATCCACATCGAGAGGGGACAGGCACTCCTCTCTCAGTGTTACTGCCAGACATCAGGAAACGGCATGAGGTCAGTTAATCTGCTGGAGTTTCTGCTCCCCGTATCCCGGCCTGGACACTTGGGGTTCGTACAAATATGTCTTCACTCTGGCTCTCCGCACACAGGAATGCCTGTCATTCCAGAGCGCACACTGTGAAGAGCTCAAGTGCAGGAAGGGGAGGAGACCTGCCAACTACAGGAGCGGCACAGCCCTAAAAAGCCACACCTACATTTCCTGACCCGGAGCTCGTGGGTAGCTCTCCAGACTCCCCGCCACAGAAGAATGGGAGCCGGCTCGGGAGCCTACCGAAGAACTTGCAAACGTGATCATACAGGAAACATCAGGGTTATGCACAGCAGGCTGATGGGCGTAGGATTCAACTCGAAGGTATGTGTTCAATACAGGCTTGCCTGGGAAGTATCGACTGTTCCCACATTTCACGACTTGCTCTAAAATCGTAGCATTTCCTCGCTGTAAGTGGCATACCCAAGGCAGGATTTGACCTATACTTGGGGAATTAATAACATCAGGAAGGTATTTTAGGACTGAATATACCTTTTCTAAAAATAAAAAGAAACAGTTCTGAACATTTTCCTTACTAAAATAGTAAACTTGAAATAACGTTTGCAAGACAGAATACAACATTTCTCTTTCTGCTAAAGCTCAGTAACCACCATGGGATCTCGGGGATTACAAAACTACTGGGAGTAACCCTACATGTTGCTTATAATACAAGGAAATATCAGCTAACCCCATGCAGCAACTGAAGGTCCAGCTTGCATACTGATTTTTTTTTTTTTTTTTGGTAATATAACTAATTTACATGTAGCCCAAACACATAAATATTAAGGACACAGCTTGATGAATTTTTATTTGTAAGTGCTAAAGTCCTTCAACAAATGACAGCTCCTAAAAAACAAGAGGTTTTAGTTTAAATCTTCGTTTTCCAAACTGAGATCACAGAATAATTTCTAGTATTTGGACTTTCCTTTTGCCTTTTCTTAACACCTTCTCCTTTGCCCCCCCCATTATCTTATCCCCATTATCTGCTTTTGATGTGGATAAAAAAAGAACCCCAAAAAACAAAAAAATTAAAAAGCCCAAAGGTAACAAATAAGAAACTGATAATGCCAAGACAGTGGTTAAGAAAAAAAGTGCAGAGAAACTTAGGCAATATTTAATTGTTCATACTGGTAGTAGTCAGAAAAACATTATGGTGACCATTAAAAAAGAAAAACATATTGAAAGAATGCTCTAATGTACAAATGCCCAAAGCCTTTAAACTCTGGCACTTACCTGTCAGCAGAGCCTGTGTAACTGCAGCTTCTACACTATAAAATGGGGAGGCAAAATGTGTCAAATGCACTGCCCAGAACCCAGTAGGTGCTCAACAAAGTATTGTAATCATCATCACCACCACTATCTGCATCATCATGGCCATAACTCGGCGTATGCTTAAGAGGGTGGGCTTTGGGGGTACCAAGGGGACTCGGCTGGTTAAGTGCCTGCCTTCAGCTTGGGTCATGATCTCAGGGTCCTGAGAACCTGCTGCTTCCCCTCCTTCTTCCCCTCCTTCTGCCTGCTGCTCCCCCTGCTTGTGCTCTGTCAAATAATAAATAAAAATCTTAAAAAATAAATGACAAAATTAAAAAAAAAGGGGGGGAGGAGGAGAGCTCTGAAGGCAACTGAAAATTTAATTCCAGATCACTAGGTGTTAACACTAGGCAAGTACCTTTACCTCTGCGTCTCAGTTTTCTGATTTGTAAAGTGGGGCATAACCATGCTTAGCAGCACAAGGCAGGTGTAAGGACTAAAGGACATAAACATAAATAAAGCCCTCTGCAATGTGCCCGGCACACGGAAAACTCGCAGTTAATGCAACCACCAAGGATCACAGTTGTAAAACAAACAAGTCAAGAAAGGAAAGGCCAGGAGCAGTGAACAATGGTCGATGGCAAAAAACTGTCATTACAAAGAGCTTAGTCAGAAACGGAAGAGGATGACATTTTAGTAACATGCATCCAGAGAGCAAACTGGAAGAAGCAGACCACGGAGGAAGTCTGAACATAATCAGGGCTGCTGTGCAAAACATTAAGCAGACGGAACAGCGCGTACTCACACACGCACAAACCGGAAACGGTACTGCAGCATTCAGCTTACGCTGCCAGCGCCACACAAGACTACAACAATAGATTTATGGATCCTGGTATAGCTGCTGTTTACCACCTGCTAAATTTAATGCCTAGCTCGGCTTGGCTCATTACTTGTTCTAGAGCACTGTGAAGGTGGCAATAAAACTTAAAAAGAATGAAAGCATTCTGAGTGACCATTAACTGCCTTGCTCAGAGCCAGGACTAAAACCCAAGTCTCCCAATTCTAACCCTAGGACTCACTTTGGCGCTTGTGTAAATGGTCAAGGAAATACCTATTTCCTAAAGATATATTCGTTTCCCAAGGAAGTCCATTCTCTACAACACAAATGTTGTTTGTGTCTGATCATTCTGCTGCCTATGCACCAAGCTGATAGACAATCCCTGCCCAGCCTGTTTCAGTTTCATTCCAACAATCAATATTTACTTGGTGCCAACTGGTAAGCAGGCAAGCTGAGAGCGAGAGAGAGAGAGGAAGATACTGGTCCACTGATCACTTTAAAATTTAACAATTGGGAGGCTTGGGTGGCTCAAGGGGTGAAGCAGTTAAGCGTCTGCTGTTGGCTTGGGCCATGATTCCAGGGTTGTGGGATCAAGCGCCACATGGGGCTCCCTGTTTCTCCCTCTTCCTCTGCCGCTCTGCCTGCTTGTGTTCTCTCCCCCTCTCTCAAATAAATAAAATCTTAAAAAAACATATAAAATTTAACAATCAAAGCCTTGAGTTCATTCTAGTTTCCCATGTAATATATGTTAGAAATGCAAAGGATGGGGCACTTGGTTCAGCGGCAGTTCTTGATCTCAGCTCAGGTCTCAATCTCTGGGCTGTGAGTTTGGAGTCTACTTAAAAAAAAAAAAAAAAAAAAAAAAAAAGCAGGGGTGCCTGAGTGGCTCAGTGGGTTAAAGCCTCTGCCTTCAGCTCAGGTCACGATCCCAGAGTCTGGGGATCGAGTCCCCCATTGGGCTCTCTGCTCCACAGGGAGCCTGCTTCCTCCTCTCTCTCTGCCTACTTGTGATCTCTGTCAAATAAATAAATAAAATCTTAAAAAAAAAAAAAAAAAACGCAGGGGTGCCTGAGTGGCTCAGTGGGTTAAGCTTCTGCCTTTGGCTCAGGTCATGATCTCATGGTCTTGGGATAGAGCCCCGCATAGCATTGTACTGGATGCCTGTTTCCCTCTCTCTCTCTCTGCCTGCTTCTCTGCCTACTGGTGATCTCTCTGTCAAGTAAATAAATAAAATTTTTTGTAAAAAATGCAAAGGGCAATTTCATTTTAACTTTATAGGAAGTAGACACTATTTCTTAATTGTCACCTATAAAAGATACTCTCTTTTTAGAGTACATTTCCTCCACAGCTTACTGCCTCAAGGAGGGGAAAGTGACATTAAAATTTGTGAATCTCTTCCTATTATATTTATGGAAAGAGCAAAAAGGCCTTATAAAAATAAAGTTTAATAGGCAAAGACAGCACTTGAAGCCCTCTAACCAGAGCCTCATTTTTTTTTTTTTTTTTTTAAAGAATTGCTTCTAGGGCGCCTGGGTGGCTCAGTGGGTTAAGCCTCTGCCTTCGGCTCAGGTCGTGATCCCAGGGTCCTGGGATCAAGTCCCGCATCGCGCTCTCTGCTTGGCAGGGAGCCTGCTTCCTCCTCTCTCTCTCTGCCTACTTGTGATCTCTCTCTGTCAAATAAATAAATAAAATCTTAAAAAAAAAATAAAGAATTGCTTCTAAACACTGCAAGTAACCTATAAAGAGCGAGGCATTCAAAACTCTTAGAGACGTTTAGGGGTTCCTGGGTGGCTCAGTGGGTTAAGCCTCTGCCTTCGACTCAGGTCATGATCTCAGGGTCCTGGGATCGAGCCCTGCATCCAGCTCTCTGCTCAGCAGGGAGCCTGCTTCCCCCTCTCTCTCTGCCTGCCTCTCTGCCTACTTGTGATCTCTCTCTCTGTCAAATAAATAAACAGAATCTAAAAAAACTAAAACACAAAACTCTTTGAGACATTTATAACTCCAAAGCCTTTGTTGGCAAGCAGGTCATATCACACACTAACATGCTACTATGACTTATATTTCAATAAGCAGTTTATAAGATCAACCACAAAGGCATAATGCGTTCGTTTAAATATACTTTTATGTTGAAGTACCAGTATAAGTTGGATTACTTAGTAGAATAAACTCTTAGGGTTTTTAATCACATCTCCCTCAGTTTATCTTGGTGTACTACTTTCTCTCAGCCTGAGATGTCTCAAGGAGGTGAGCGCTTATGAAAGGCTGGGAAGAAAGTCACTTCCCTCTAGGAAAGATGACCAACAGAAAGTACTGACAGGTCACACAGATACATACTGAAGAAAAGGTCTAATTTTCAACTTCTGGATCTATAACTGGGGAAGGGAGCAGCTTCCTATTCTTTACCCCATGATGTAACTCTATCCTAGTCTGGTTGGCTCTGGATAGTTACAGGAGATAACATCTGACAATAACCTGTTTCTCAAACTCCATGTGGAAATTAGAAAGCCTTGTCAGGCACTTGTAAAAACTTTTCAAGGCCTCATCTATCTGCACAAATCCTTCACTTGGCCTGGATTCTACGGAGCTTCTACTCATCCTTTAAGAACTGGCTCAAACGTTGCTTCCACTCTAATGAGCCTTTCATCATTCAAGCAGAATTCCAATAAAGATTTGCTGATCATTGATTATGTGCCCAGCAATGTGTTGATGCTAAAAACAAGTTTTAGCCCGTAAGGTGTTGACAGCTCAAGTAAATAGGATCTATAATAATCAGTACTTAGGAACTATGCAAACAGACTGGTAGGGGTGGGAGTGTCTAGCTTTGCCCTGAGAGATCAAAGAAAATATCTCAAAAGAAGTTAGAGCTAAGATCAAAGAGAGTCAGTCACAGAAGAGATGACAGAGGTGAGAAAAAGATACAAGCATTAAGACATAAGATTGGAGAGGTAAAGAGCTGATTATGACTGATCATGCTGGACATATCACCTTAAACTGCAATGATCTTCTGACCTCTCTTACAGGCTAGAAACTTCTCTTGGGCAG